ATGAGCAACATAGGACCATGATGTTCAATAAGATAATGCAAAAGCCTGTGGTGGAAATTTTCTCCGCTGTTTTCCCTGAGAGAGCCGGGGAATATTGAGTGTCTCAGCAACCAGAACAGGGGCACAGCCAGCGAACAGGTGGCCCAGCTCTCTTCACAGAGGATGACTATTCTGGTTCATAACGGATATACCCAGAGGTGAAATGACAGTACGTTCTGGACTATTTTTTACCAGTAGCTTTCTACATACGTCAAAGAAAAGACTCTTAGAAATGTCTCTTCCCTCCATCCTCTGGCCGTTTCCTGTTAACTGTGATCTCTCTGCAATGCCAGCAGTACGCATACCTCCAAACATGTAGAAGAAAGTGCTCTATCCGTCTAGTTGAGATAATATATAACGATCACAGCACTCCACAGTTACTGTATACTATGTGTGTATATAAATATGTATATATGCGTATAAGTATGTATATACATATGTCTGTATGTCAAATGTGTTACATGCATATACAATCTATACTGTATTTAGTATCCATGTCACTTATTAAACAGAGCCTCCCATGTGGAAGGCATTTAGTGGCCACATGAGTGGGGAGCATGCCCTTTTAATTCACATCTCATTAGTTGTAACTTTGTGGGAGGGTTATCTCTAACTGCACAAGAAACCGTATTTATCAAGGACAACCAACAGGTACAGTGAGTGACCAGTCAGATGTCTAAAATTAATTTTTGACTTTTACTAGGTGTCTAGAGGACAAGGCATGAATTTTACATCATCAGATCCCTCTGGAACCCTATGACTTGCTATTGCCATGATTAAGTACTATAATTGCTAAAAGTAGTTCTGCTGGTATCAGTCATGGACCACAAAACCACACCAGATCTTCTGACTGTCCTGAAACACCATCGTCTCTTCCTCACACAGCAACATAATATTGAAAAGTAAGCTTGGAGCATTGTTCTGTGGTTTAACAGTATTTATTGCTCAGCCTCACTTGTGACTTCTTTAACCATGTAAATTAGTTTTAGCCCATCAAATGATGGCGAGAACTAGAGTACATCCATCCTACACCGTACGTTGGAAGGTATTCTAAACACACAGAACAAGCAAGAGAAGCTGAGGCCCTGGATGGTGTGGAATCTTCCACTCTAGCCTGGAGTCTCGTGACATTTATGTGAGAGAAAACATGTCTACCACACCAAACCTCTCTTTCCCCGGTGTTCTGTTACTAACCCCTGATGGGAATTCTCACCAGTCCCATCACAAGGTGTCAGCATTCCCCTTGCAACTTCACACATACTGTGTGGTTTGACATGAACAGCGTTTCCAGAGAGTAAGTGTCCATGAGCCCATTCCACTGACAAAACTGAGGGCTCAGGGGATATTTAATTGAATTGCCCATAGCTGGTAAGTCACTGTCATTCCAGAACAGATCTTTGGATTTTGAACCACTCATTCTCAATCATCATGCAGCTTGGATGTTGTCCTCCCCCACCCCCCACCAGCCTAATCTCCAGGCTTTGGGCTCAGTCAGAGATTTCACTGCTTGAAGATACACCAAAGACCCCACTGCTGCCTCAGCACAGCTCCCTAACGCGGATTCTTTTGTCTCGAATCTTCCACCAGGACTAGAATTTAACTCTTGAACTCCAATTTCGGTCGGTAGACTGCTTCCTGGTTTCTTCAGCAAAGCCTGCATGCTTATCTCACGATTAAACCCGCTCCCCAACCTTCATAGGCCAATGGAGGAGAGCCTGCCCTGCCTCCCAACCGCATCTCAGGCGGATGGTCCCCTACTTATCAAGTACCACAGTGGCAGAGCTCCCTGCTCTCCTCTCTTCGCACCAGGTCAAAGCCTGGACTACCCTTCAGTATCGCAGTTATGGAGTGCATCACTGAGCACAGCGACAATGAAGGGTTCTGGGTCTAGCTTTCCTGCTAGTTACCTTAGAAGCTGAACGTGATGCCTAACCTGTTCAGGCTTTTGCGTCTTCGGTAAAAGAGGGACAGACTAGGACGCGCTTTGGATGATGCATGCAGTACTAGCACATAGTGCTACTCAAACAGTATGCCAGCCTTTGTCTTGAAGTTTTCATCCTTCTCTTTCTCTCCTCCCTAACCTGATCTCAAAGTCGTGGGTCTCGTGTGTCTCGGCAGTGATACTGGTCAGGTTTTGCAATGGAAACTACTCTAAATCTAATTATCTCTCTTCTTGTCACTTGGCCTCTAATAGATTGAAAGACCCTTAATTAGGAAAGGTTTTTGTCTCATTCACTATCTCCCCTGAAATTCATTGGGTGTACACACATTTTTGTTGTTGTTGTTGTTGCTGTTTTTCTTAGACTCCTGAAGACCATGAAGTCTAAATGATTTATTTTGGAGATGAGAAAATGGAGGTTCAGCTTAAGAATGTGCTGGCGAAGTCAGTAGAGCAGGTTAACAGTGACATAGAGGGGAAGCCTGGGCACATACATCATGTCCATGCCTCGCTATCACTGTTTTCGTAATCTTTCAGATCCAAGGTCGGGTGTTCCCCTCTTGAAAACATTCTTCCAGGGTCAATCATTTCTACTCTGATTCTTCTAGACATCATCAACGACTATATGGTGTTTTTCTCATCGTTTAGTTTCATATGTCATTCCTCTTCTGGGAAATGCAGGATAATCCTCAGAGTCAGTTACTCCCACCATATCTGACAAAGTTTCTAAAAATTGAAAGTTGACAAAAGAATGTGTGTCAAATTTAACTAGAAAGGGTTAAATCCTGTTTACATGGTCTTTATGAATGGTGTGCATACTGGCTGGTCTTTATGTGTGGTGTGCATGCTGGCTGGTCTCTCTTTATGAATGGTGTGTCTACTGGCTGGTATCTATGTATGCTGTGCATACTAACTGGTCTTTATGAATGGTGTGCATACTGGCTGCTCTTTCTTTATGAATGGCTTGCACACTGGCTGGTCTTGTTGTACAGGAGGGACAGGGAGGGTCATAAAATCCCACGTAGGCTCTTTATAGTAAGAGAACATTTGTTAAATTCTTCTTGAGTTCATTATAGATAGACGTGCTCACCCACAGCCTGAAAAGCCATGCTCACCACGTCTTCTGGCAGTGAGAGAATGTCATTGCTGGTAGACACCACTCTCCCCAGTTCATCAGCTGAGCACTGCGAAACCATGGGGACATTACTGGGCATCCCTGTCAGTCAGCTGCACAATGGAGAGTCACTTGCTAAGAACTGGCATTTGGCAGGGTCAAGATTCTTCAGTTTGTCTACACTGAATGTGTCTATACCACAGGTACCAGAAATGGAGCCAAAAGAGAGTGGAGTCCATTGAAGAATTAGTAATTAAGAGGGGAAATGAATACATACAAGTAAATAAACGTATATGTGTGTGTGGACATATAAAACATTCCTCCATAGCAATTCATTATTAATGTTTAAGTTCCAGGCTACGTCGCCTATATACTTAGAAATATACATCTATTGTGGTTGAAAGCTCAGAAATCGTTACTGATAAAGCCCAAGTTTATAAGCCAGTACTAGGCTTGTGATTTACCTTTTATCTTGGAAATAAAGCAAATACGCTATAACATCTATTCTGAATGTATCCAGTGTTTGCCTTTTCTTTATATCTGACTCAGTTCTTTTTGATTGTCCATGCAGTCCTGTCTTGTTAAGGCATCTAGAATGTAAAGGCTTAGGTCTCAAATGCTAAAATGTTTGGTTCATTTGTTTGTTTGTTTTATTTTGCTTGGTGATATTCTATATTATAGGCCTGCCTGGATGTTGCTATGTGAACCAGGCTGGCTTAGAATTCATGATTTTTCTCCTGCCTCTGCCTCCTGAGTGCTAGGGAGTCTGGTATGCACAACCATATCAAGCCTATGTCTAGAATTTAATGCGTCTTTACCTTGATGTGGAACTGGCTAACTCACGGCCCCGTGATGTGTTCTTCATAATGAATGTTCAGAAAAACAGGAAAAGAAAGGAATGGAGAAAGGAAATGAAAGGTGATTTCAAAGTAGAGAGAGAGAAGGAGAGGGGAGGGGGAGGGAGCATTGGGGTAAGGAGCTGATAGGACAAGAGGAGTAGGAAGAAAAGAGAGGAGAGGAAAGGGAGAGGGGCAGGACAGGAGGAAGGAAGGAAGATGGGAGGAAGGAAGACGTGCCGTTTGCTATGCTGGTGATCATCTTAATGTTGTGCCCAAGTACAGAAGACAAGAGTTACCTGTCATAGTGGTGATGCAGGCAGCCGAACAGGATCAAAAACGTCATCCAAGTTGAGCATTATAGATTTGTTCTCCTTTTCTGCCCCATTCCAAATATTTCTTCATATTTCTCAGTGGCAAAAACATGTGAAGGACCAAGTATTATCTAGAATCATGAAGCAGCCAAGTGGTCAATAATAGGGTCTCAAGGACTCTTGTTTCGGCTTGAATCATAATGTCCTTTATAAACATTGATGAATATTGACTGAATTCTTTCCATTAGAACCGCAGGGGGCTAATGACCGAGGAGTGCTACTCAAATGGCTTGGTGAAATGTGGCAAATACCATAAACTATTTTCTTATCAAGTTTTCTACATGCTGTGATAGAATCCAAAGATTAAATATTGATTTAATTCTTATATAACTGCCAAAATTGTTAGACAGAGTTTTAAGGGTGTCTTATACCCACAGAGTACTAAATGACACAGAGTGTCGGGTCTGTGCTGGAAAGAATTTAATCTTGGAGACGCAATGTTCTGTTTGCAATTCCAGGTTCATTGCTATAAAAAATACTAAGTATTGGCTTCTCTAGACTTGTCAAAGTAAGTGAGAACTTGAGATATATTTCAACATATATATATATATGCATATATGTAAGTATATTTCAAGCTGGAGATGATGTGCACAGAATTTTCGATCCACAATTAGCGTTCAGCCTCCTGCAGAAGCTGACTCACTAGAAAAGAGATGTAATCAACTGTGACTGCCCTTTCAAAGTCCTGTTTTTCACAGCAGCTTAAGACCCTACCTGGAAGAGTCAAACCGAGGACAGCCTCAAGTCCAAAGAGTAATGTCGACTGTGTATTTTGACATGGATGGCTGAGAATCCTCTATGCTGTCTTGAAGCACGAAGGTAATTTTGTCTACTGGTGAAAGAACACCTCCGTCTCTCACTTCATTCGGTTATCATTTTACAGTAGGCACCAATGAATCTTCCCCTTCCCAGACTCAGAAAATATAAATACCATATGTACTCAGTCATAAGTGAGTATTAGATGTGAAGCAAAGGATAACCAGGCTATGGAGTCCACAGCCCCAGAGAACCTAGGTAACAAGGAGGGCCCTAAGAGAGACACACGGATCGCCCTGGGAAAGGGAAGTAGATCAGATCTCTCGGTAAATTGGGGGCAGGGGGAAGAGAGGAGGGAGTAGAGGGGAGGGGATGGGGAATGGGGACATGAGGGATCAGGATGGCCAAGTTGGAGGAGCATCAGAGAAAGAGAACAATGAAAGAGAGATCCTAATGGAGGGGGTCATTATGGGTTAGGGAGAAACATGGTGGCAGGGGAACTGCCAAGAATCCACAAGGATGACTCTAGCTAGGACTCGTATCATAGTGGAGAGGGTGTCTGAACTGGCCTTCTCCTGTAACCAGATTGTGGCTACCCTAATTGCCATCATAGAACCTTCACTCAGTAACCGATGGAAGCAGATGCAGAGATCCACAGCCAAGCACTGGACTGAGCTCCAGGAATCCAGCTGAAGCAAGGGAGGAGAGATTGTGTGAGCAATGGGAGTCACGACCATAACAGGGAAACCCACAGAGACAGGTGACCCACGCTCGTGGAAGCTCAGGGACTCTAGACCGACAGTTAGGGAGCCTACATAGGACTGACGTAAGCCCTCTGCATGTGGGTAACAGTTGTGTAGATTAGTCTGTTTGTGGGGTCCCTAGCAGTGAGACCAGGATCTGTCCCTGGTGCATGTATTAGCTTTTTGGAACCTATTCCTTTTGGTTGGGTGCCTCCCTCAGCCTTGATGCATTGGGGGAGCTTGGTCCTGCCTCAATTTGATACGCTGTGCTTACTCTTTCTTTTCTTTCTTTTTTCTTTTTTTGTTGGTTTTTACGAGACAGGTTTCTTTGTATTGTTTTGGAGGCTGTTGGTCCAGCCCTGCCTTGAACTCACAGAGATCCGCCTGCCTCTGCCTCCCGAGTGCTGGGATTAAAGGTGTGTGCCACCACCGCCCGGCGCCATGCTTACTCTTTCTGAGGAGTAGATGGGGGTGTAAAAATGAGGTGGGGGAGCTGGAGTTGAGGAGGGAGGGGAAACTGTGGTTGGTGTGTAAAATAAATAAAAACATTTTAATAAAAAAAGATCAGTTGAAAACAAAACACAAACTTGACAGGATAGCAAAATTTTCTACCACAACCAAATAATAAAATCTCCAAGTTGTACTTTAGCAGAATCCTAGACAAGGGGCAGTGTCTCTTGTCCTTCTTCATGCCTAAATGTGTTCACGTGACAAAGTTCTGGGTGCATCCATAAATTTGTCATCTCTCTGTCTCTCACTGTTTTGCCTCTCTGTCTGTCTGTCTGTCTCTGTCTCTGTCTCTGTCTCTGTCTCTGTCTCTCTCTCTCTCTCTCTCTCACACACACACACACACACCAACATAGGATATCTGAAGCACTTTCCAAAGTGCACATTTCTACTTTTCCTTGTCCATCCTTCCTTCCTATTTAGAATGTGACTCCTGTCATATTTAATTATGAGTAGAGTTCTCTTTACCTTAGCAAAGACCGAGTGGAGAGGAACTCAGCAAGCACACACAGCAGAGTACGTCCCTCCAGAAGACTACTCCTCCCCTCTACAAAGGATTGTTCTTGACGAGTTCTGGGGAGTACTTTGAAATTTCTGTTGTTTTTATTTTTCTTGTTGTTGGTGGTGGTATATTTGTTGTTGAAACACTCACACCTAAACCTAAATCTAACTTAGTTAACCACACAAGGAAAACATGTTTATTAGATCAAGTCTCTCTCAGATTTTGAGCAGTATACTGATGGTGCTCACATCTATATTTAAAAATCAGGTTCAATCTGGGATTTGTTTTCTGCATGGAGTTAAATAAAGGGACACTTTATGGCAAAGATTTCCTTAGCTGGAGGAATTAATCAGGAAAAGTACTAATACAGTTTGCCCAGATGTAGAATGTCCCTGGGGTAAATGGCAATTTTAACCCAGGTTGTTTGTCTGGGATAATGTTATCTGACTTTGATCTGACCCACAGGGAATTGTCCTCGTAAAATGATGCATGATGGATGTCATTGCTAGATGCTTTGACATTTTGGGAAGAAACAGTTTGCAGACATCCTGGCCTGGAGCAACCCCTGCTTCTGCCAGAATACTTACTCACCCAGGACTGCAACAGAAATCTCTCTGTAAAATATTGTAGACGAGAAAGAAATTAATGCAAGACCCGTTATCACTCAGAGAAAGCAACCGGATGGCAATGGCTACTCCCCAGTACAAGCATTCAAGCTAACAGTTTCCCAGACTCCAAGAAGATCAAGGGGACTACAAACCCATTTTAGGGGGCATTAAATTAAGTCCAATATTTTATCTTTATAGGATATATATTCTCCAGAGAGCTTCAAAAATGCCAATGGTTAACGGCGTCTAATGTTCTGGAGATATATATGATATTTATATATATATATACATATAATGCAATTTATGTCTGTTCACTATGGTATTCTAAACCTGGCACAGAACATAGAACCTTTCTGACAGGTGGCTTGAATGCCTGTTTCCCAAGATTGATTTAAAATATTAGACATGAATACCCAAGAAGGATTTGTACAGGACTACTGCTAACGATGGGAAGTTTAAGCTTTCCCCTATTTCTCCAAGATCAAGACACGAGTCTGTCCCATTTTCCCCAGCGTTGTGAATTGTCCCAATGCTCTTATCTGCTCAGTTTGAAATATAAATATTGCTTGATGTTTAAAAATCACGCTTCTCAGGTGATTTGTGTGCTGGCCTCTCAGAAATATTATTCCTGTCCCCCTTGTAATCAATTTTATGCAAATGATTCTCAAAACGTGTCAAGCTCTGGAGTTACTTTCATGAGTTAAATCAGATGTGTTCTGCCCATGTTGCATATAATATGATATAAAACATGAAAATCAGACAGTATTTTCATCTTAATTTCCCTTCCTATTTCAGTCTGTGTGTCTGCCTCAATTAATGACTATGGCGCCATTTTAATTTCTAGGATACAGATTACAGATGCTACAATCTATTCCCCTAGCCCAAGACCTCATCTCAGCCCTCATAGCCACAGCCACTGATTTACCCCAAAGTCAAAGGCAAGGAACTCTCTGGGATGCTGTGGCAGATGCAGAGGCCAGCAAGAGTGTTCCCAGGGACACCAAAGGGCAGATTCCAGAGCTTGCAACTGTACACAGACAGTAGCTCCTGTGTTTATCTACAGGTTTTCATTCTGGTAAACTTTGTTCTCCACATAAATTTTCCTTTGCCCATCATCATAACTCAGTCTCAGTCTCCTTTCAATTTAAAAACCTTGCATCTTTCTGCAGGCACAAGTTTCCAAAAAAATTAATCCAGCTGGTTATTCATCTATTAAAGAAATAAAGTTCGTTACCTCTCTACTGCACTCAAAGAGAATCCATGTTTCTGCCTTAAGCATGTATCTAAGTACAATAGATATTGTCTTATCAGTGAAAATTGGTGAGTACAGTTACCTATACACAGTCTAGACAATGGAATGTACAGTTCCTGCCCTTCTGAAATCTCTAGATTGAACATTGTGTGACCACAAACAGAATTAAACGTGATATCCCCAAAATCTAGGACCATTATGGGGTAACAATAAGAAAATTAAGTCAACCTCTCGATAGTGACTCAAAAGCAATTCCAATCTTCACACGTTATTCTTACAAAATATGACCAGAAATTCAATTTACGTCCTGCTGTAACACTCCACACAATATATTTTCCTCCCTTGCCCACTAAAATTCCACTTTCTCTGGAAATGTTGTAGAGTCTATTGTTTGCTAACTCCTTCAAATTCTTCCCTTGTGTTCCCAAGTAGCATTTCAGTTTTTCTTTCTGGCTTCAAAATATAAGAGTTTTGATTTGTACTGTGTGTGTGTGTGTGTGTGTGTGTGTGTGTGTGTGTGTGTGGTTTTTTAATCTATTGCTCATATTCAGCAACATAAAAGCAAATCTAGGAATTGATCCTTTTCTGTAACCTTGCTAGTTCTGACGGATTACCTTTTGTTCTACAAAAAAATAATTGCAAGAGTAGTGCCTGCCACAGAAGGAAGCCCTTTTTAGTTGAAAAAAAAAATGGTAGGAAGACAGTTTTCAAATGTTTACCTGTTAAAAACATTTTTTCTTAAAATTAAAAGAAAATTTGCCAAGGGGCTCCATGGCTATAATTGTCTGTTCTAGAAGAACAAGGAGGTACGGCATGCCAACCAAACTTGGCTCTCAGAAGGGATGGGGACGGGAGCTGAGCTGAGAGAATGAGTTCATTTGCAGAGATCAAGGTCAAGAGAGCATCCCTCTTAAAGCGGGAGATAGACTAGACCCGGGATTCAAGCAGTGGCGGTGCCTTAATCCCAAGGCTGGAAGTGTGTGGTCCGTACGAACACGTGATTCTCCTTGGGAGCCGCAGACCGCTACGAAAAATAGGAGGTGGTAGACCTCCTGGTCCAGGTGTGAATCCAGACTCATAAGGGGCCAGGGAATTCTGGAACATTGGCAAAAGAGACCCATGAGGTAACCGTAACCCACAGCTGTAGCTTCCCAGGTGTGTGTGTAGGAGGAAAGGTAGGGTGTGTATCTGTCTGCCTCTGTCTGTCTGTCTGTGGCTCTATATCCGTGTCTGTGTGTGTGTTTAGAAACAGCAGAAACGATATATCAAGAGTCACACAGAGACCTGGGGATTTCAGATGTGTCAGGTAATTAGAAATGACCATCATTTTCACCTCCTGTGTCCCGAGCTAGACTGGTAGATGCTTTTTTTAAATTTTATTTTGCTTTTTTGTTTTTAATTTAAATTAGAAACAACATTATTTTAGGTATCATTCCCAGATCCCTCTCCTCCCCATCCTCCCATGCTCCCCACCAAGGCCCCCCAACCCATCCCCCATCCACTCCCCAGGGAAGGTGAGGCCTTCCATGGGGATCATCAAAGTCTGTCAAGTCATTTGGAGCAGGGCATAGGCCCTCCTCTGTGTATCTAGGTAAGAGAGTATCCCTCCATGGGAAATGGGCTCCCAAAGTCCATTTGTGCACTAGGGATCAATGCTGGTTCCATTGCCAGAGGCCCCATAGACTGCCCAGGCATCCTAACTGACACCCACATTCAGGGGGCTTGGTTTGGTCCTATGCTGGTTCCCTAGCTGTTAGTCTGGGGTCCGTGTGTTCTCAATTGATCCGGTCAGCTGTTTCTGTGAGTTTCCCCAACACAGTCTTGCCCAATTTGCTCATCACTCCCCCCCCTCTCTACAACTGGACTCCAGGAGTTCAACTTAGTGTTTAGCTGTGGGTGTCTACTTCTGTTTCCATCAGCTACTGGACGAAGGCTCTAGGATGGCATTTGAAGTAGTTATCAGTGGCTGTGGTGGCATATGCCAGTAGGATTTGCTGGTAGGTGCCTTTTTAGAAAGTTAGCCTTCCTCACTAGAAGGAAGGGAGACAGCAATTCAAATGAACTTAAGACCGTTATTTTACAGTGGGACAGTTTTAATTTTATAAAATTTGCTTTGCCACATTACAAACCATTTCTTTTTTTATAATAAAAAACTCCAGGAAAATTTTACAAAATGTTGATTTATTTTAAGTTCTTTTGCTGTTATTGCTGCCATAATTTTGTTTTGAGATGGGGTCTCGGGTATCCCAAGCTGGCCTGGAACTAGCTGTGTAGCCAAAGAGGATCTTGATCTTTGGATACCAACTGAGCTACGTCTCCACCTGTATCTTAAAATCTTTACTAAAAAAATTATTAAGAGCACATTAAGTGTACTTCATATGAAAGACTTTGATTTAGTCATTCATTGAAGAATTGCTAAGTGCTCAGAAAATACAAGTGAATACAAAGCCCAGAAATAGTGTCTGTCTTTTGATTCTTGTTGCCCAGATGCTCTCAATCTATAAGATGTTGGTATTTCCAACTCAATAGAAACTATAATAAGTAAAAACATTTCAAGATAAACTCCTACCAAAAAATATTGCTGCTTTCCTCCCTCTTTTCTTATTGTTAATCAGTGGTATCTGATGCTTGTGTATACAAGCTCATTATAAATGGTCTCTGGGACTCTGGAGAAGATGCGCAGATTCTTTCTCATATCTCTGAATTAGTTTTCCCTTAAAAACACTTACCCTTAAATGCACGACTTTTATAGCTTTGGGAGTCACTGCTCTCCTGACAGTGGCTTGGGGGCAGGAAGGCTTGGTTTAATCAAAGGCTAAGTTGGCAGCTGGTTCTGTGTCATACACCAAATTTCTTTGTGACTCTAGGCTTACCATTTAAGTGCCTGAAGCCCAATTTAATAATCTGTAAGGTGACAATATGTTACTAGATGTTATAGAAGATTTTTTTTTTGGTGTTTCAAGACAGGGTTGCTCTGTATTGTTTTGGAGGCTGTCCTGGAACTCACTCTGTAGACCAGGCTAGCCTTGAACTCAAAGAGATCCGAATACCTCTGTCTCCTGAGTGCTGGGATTTAAGGCGTGTTCCACCAACGCCCAGCTTCAGGAGATCCTCTTATGTAAAAAAAATATATATTATAATATTACTCCCAGAGTAAATCTTTATCAGGTCTGAGACTTCTGGTCTGTACCTATAATCTCAGTTGTCTTTGCAGTATTTTTATTTTGATGCCCAATAACCTGAAATTTACTGTACAGACAAGTAAAGAGAATACAAAATAATTCATTTCCAATCAAACTTGCTCTGTTTTATCCTTCTCATCATCAGTATTTTGACTCCTAATATACTTTTTCTATTCTTTTTTTTTTTTTTTTTTTGGTTTTTCGAGACAGGGTTTCTCTGTGGCTTTGGAGGCTGTCCTGGAACTCGCTCTGTAGACCAGGCTGGCCTCGAACTCACAGAGATCCGCCTGCCTCTGCCTCCCTAGTGCTGGGATTAAAGGCGTGTGCCACCAACGCTCAGCTCTTTTTCTATTCTTTTAGATCCATGATTCACTAGTTTTGCCTCCTTCCTACTCCAAACTCAAACAATTTTTAAGGGATACCCATTTGTCTCCAAAGTCAAACAAAAACTTTCTTGGCATTTATAAGAATCTCTATTTATTTTTTCAGTCAACACCATACTTAACAAGCAAACATTACTTTGGATCTACCCTACAACTAAAATATTGATCGAGTTTCTGAATTTGCTTTCAGGAACAGGTAAATAGTGAACTTCCTTTCAGAATGTAGAGTCACTTTTCCCATCCTGCTCCTTTCTCGTTGATATCTGGATTCCATTATAAAGAAAGAAGTAAAGTAACGTCCTGATTATTAGGTTATGCCTCTTTCCCAAGTCCCACAAACTAGGAACGTACAGGCTATGGCTGCAGGAGAAAGATTCAGAGGGGGGACCACAGAATACAGAGTAGGGTGATGCTGACTTAGATGCTGGTAGGTTTTCCTAGTTTTCTTTTTTCTTTCTTTTCGTCTTCCTTTGCCTTTTTCTTTCTTGAACTTCTCTTCAAAACATGGAGTTTACCAAGGAGCCATTAAGATATCTGAGGGCATCTACTTGATAACGGTTTTAGTGAGAAAACAAATCAGGCTATGTTAATGCCAGCATGCTGTGCGGGGAGAAGGATCTACCAAACCACTCCAGAACCAGAAATAGAATCTATTCTGTCATCTGGGATGCAGGGGGACAGGGTAGAGACCAAAGAACAAACACATTTCTCTATTTCAAAACACAGCCTTCACCTGGAAAGAGTATTTGGCTGTTCACAGGTGCCTCCTACACACATTTTCAAGAAGAGCTACTTTTAAAAATCCTTATATTTTTATCACAAAATCTTAGACCTGGTAAATACAAGATGTCCCCCAGAAAAGAGAAACATTTGGATGTAACACCTGTCTCGTTGTTTTTTTGGTGTATGGCCGTCCGTTATCATTGCTTAATGAGGCAGAATCCCTTCTAAAATAGAAACGAAGACAGGAATCGCATTATAATTATCTATTTGTAACATATTTGA